TTCGCAGCTAATTTAAACGAATTTTTATTAGCTAAGTGCGAGTAATTTGATATTTTATATAATTTTAAACTTATTGAACGCAGTCAAACAAATAATTGACGTTCAAAATTTGATTTGCAAAATCTTAATAAGCTCTTAAAATGTGTTCAACTTGATTTGTTTATTTAACGAATTGCCGAACAAGTTTTTAACAAGCTGAACATGGTTCGAGCTCAAGTATTCGTTCGTTATCACGTCTATTTTTAATTTTTAATTTTACGAGTTTTCCAATTATCCTTAAGTCAATTTTTTGTCGCGTGGGTACTTTTGATAAAAGGAAAAATTAGTAATATCTCTCTCCAAACTTTGCTGTAGTAGGAGAGTCTAAGATGTTTTTTTCTATTAGTTAAAGACTTTCTCAACATTTTCACAGAGAAAATTCGAACTTAGAGAAATTTTCCGACAGAAAATTGAAATTTCTCTGAGTCGATGCTAAAATTTCTCTGCAGGCTCGACAAAATTTCTTTTGAATCAAATTTTTTTGTTAGAATATTGAGGGGTACCCTAACTACTGTGAAAAATATTATATGTCATTTGTCTTATAAAATTTTTAATGGCCTGCGTTTGGGAGGGGCTATTTTTAGTAGGCTATTTGGCTTTTGGCTATTTTAGTAGGCTTATTTTTAGTGTGTTTTGGAATTTGAGATGAATTTTATTTGGGTTGTTGTATGGAAATGTTGTGAAATGATGTTAAAATATTAGAATGACAAAATTTGCCCCTAAAGTATATTTTTTTAAATTGTTGTCAAGGCGTTTAAAAACCGTAATTTACCATTTGATGGGATTAATTTGGTAGCTGACAGTGTAGGCACAAGCCTACACTGCCGTAGTGCAGGCTTTTTTTTTTTTTTTTTTTGAAAAAAGCTTGCCCAAAATGGCTTTTTGCTTATAAAAAAATTTTTTAGGCTATAATATGCCGGCCAAATCACTTCCCAAACAGCCCCAATATCAGAGATCTTAAAAAAATATTGTGACAATTTTGATAATATCATTAAAATAAATAAAAAATAATCAAAATCAATCAAAATTTAAATTTATCTGATAATTATAGTTTAATATTTTCATTAGTTAGCCACATGTACTATGTAGGGATACATTGTGATAAAAGAAACCCTTTTTTAACATTAAAATATGATATATTTTATTTCAAATAAATCAGGTGACAGAACCCTTTTAAGAAAATTATGACCACGTCACAAATTAAACACCAACAAAAATCTTCAAAGATTATTTTTCTTCGATTTAGTTCATAAACTTTAATGAAGGAACAAAATACAAGTTTTTTTTTTTTTTTTTTGGTTTTTGTGCAATCACTTTGGGAAGCTCGTCTAGCAAATAGGCGGAGGAACACCGACAGAATAGATGGGCTTTCAGCAAACCTGTACAGAAAAAAAGGGCTCCAGCAGTGGCTTTTCCACCCGGGGGCACTCCGACGACAAGTCAGTATAATCTCTCAAAGCATAATCAAGTGCTAAACTCACTACTTCAAAGCATAAAACGGCGTACCATTAGACCACGGGGTGTCTCTTTTTTATAGCCAATACAATCCTAGTCCCAATAGGAAGCCTGGCCCTAATAGACGTTAGGATTACTGCTAATCTAGGATCCCAGTGAAGATTAGGATTAAACTCTCTTTAAGAGTCAATCTTTATCAAACTGAAGACTTCCTCCTGAATCTGGCGACTCTTGTCCATATCCAGGTGCAGTCCCTCTTCATTCTAGCGGACTTTTGTCCTGTTATCGCTTATCTCGGATTCGAATATCTTTGAAGAGATAACCTCGCCTGCCGAGATCACCTAGGCGTCACGACCAGGACACGTGGCACCTTGGCTGAACACGTCGGTGTCACCCTCCACGTGTCGGTACCCAGAAAATACATCCCACAACTGCCCCCTAAGTTCTATTACCTCGCTTCTGGGTGATGGAACCTATATCTGTATTTTCTTCTAGTAAATCGGCTTAAGATTTGACAGCTGAGATCATTCATTTCTGCGCCCGACATTACTTTCCTTAAAAAAATCAAAGATTTTTAAGGAACCTTTTACGCGCATGAGCGTCATGCCACTTCAATTCAACCGTTTGACACGCGTTTCTTTCTTACTGGGCTCGTGCCTGTGGACGCGCCCAATAAGTCAATCTCTTCTTTCACATGCGCCGTCTGACGTATGCGCTCTTTTAGGCGTATTGATTGCTTTTGCCGCCGTTTTTATTTTTTGACAAAATCTTTCCCCCTTTCTTTCGTCTCTTCACTTTTGCATCTGAGTTCTCTTGCTTTTTTCTCTCTCTAAAACTCTTTCTTTCAAATCCGCCATTGCTCAAGCTTCCAAAGCTCTGCATCCTTCTCCGTTCACTCCTTTCGGCAAGATTTCCACCGGTCTTCTGCTCTTGCAACCGTCGTAGGACGTCGGCAAATCCCTTTTCGGCCTCCCTTTTTCTGGTAAGCATCTGTTTCTTTCTATTCCAGTTCTTGATCTTTCCTAGAATTTCTTGTTTACTACTGCTTTTCTTAAGTAATCAATTTGTAGATCATACATCTGAATGCGTTGATTTTGTTTTTTGCTTATGCCCTGAATACATGTACTGTTCTTAGTGTTTCTTGCACGTCTTGCTACTGTTTCCTGGCCTTCAACTCTTTGTATTCTTCATGTTCTTGATAGTCCATCTTTGTTCTTGACTCTGAAATTTCGTATTTGTTTTCTGTTTTTTTTGTATCTTTTCCAGATCTGTACCTTTGATCTTCATCTTCATAGCTTTAGGTTTGCGATTTGTTTGTAGAACCCATAACTTAGGAAAAAACTAAAACCTGCACCT